TATTTGGATAATTGCACTTAACCTAACCAAGATAATGACACACATTTTAACATAATTTAAAATGGTAGCTAAATTAGGAACAGGAAAGACCATTAATAGACTTGTAATTGCGGGGTTGAGAACTCATCTATGGAGGATGAGGAGCAGGACGTATTTTTGGTTTGCTAGGCATGGGGTGCGTGGTACAGGTAGCATGTAGACAAGAGTCCCCAAGTAAAACTGGAGACGGGGGCGATGACTCAATACACAGGTAGACCAGTGCTGGTTATGGCATCAGAGCAAGGGCCCCGAGGTCAGGCTCAGGAAGGCACTGGCCACAGTAGGTTTGGACTAGTTGGAGGTCAGTGTCTGAGAGGCACCCCAGATAGAAGACTGGGTAGAAGACATGAGTCAGCTAATGGAGGAGAATACATCCAGGCTGGGAAATATTGCAAGATCCAGGTGAGTATGCGCTCACACCAGCGCTGTCAGTACCGTGGCCTAGGTCCATGCTCCTCCGTATATATAGAGCCCCCGCCCCCGTGCGCGGAGACACGCCACACACAGCCCCAGAGGCACACTGTGTCAGGTACAGAACTAGGTGGTGGAAATAGAAATGACTATGTCCCTGACCGCAGTGATGTAACCATCTAATGGTGGCAGGCATGTGGGGGCAGGGAGGTCATAGACAGAGCTCCAAGTGCAATGGTGCACGAGAGGTATTTAACTGGAGTCAGTACTGGGAGTAGTGGAGAAACAGAGAAGGAGGTGCTCAGTCGGTTCTCCTTGGAGGAGGAGGTTCTAGGAAGACTGGGAGAGAGATGTCGCTTGCTGAGTTTAACAGGCACACCCATCAGGGGAGGGCATTTCAGGAAGGCGAAGCTGTGTTGGTAAAGACCCAAAGCTGGAAAACAGCGCTGAGCATCGGCAACTTTGAGGGCTTTAGTGTGGCCGGACTTAGGGTGGATGGGCCAGTGTGAGACGAAGATGAAGGACCATGCTGCTCACGCAGGGCCTTGTCCAGTGGGTTAACGTTTGAGTTCAGGAGCCTGGACTTTATATAAATAATGAGAGAATAATGAAAGCAGACACTTCTAGGCTATCTTTCCTGTGTTCAATCCCATTGTCTTAGAACCTTTCTCACATTGCTGTCCCACCTGTAGTCAGTATCTGGAAGCCACATCAATACCCCTTGTCCCTGCCTTTCCTTAGACCATAACCTATTAGACCGACAGGTGTCCACAGGATCTCTGTCCCTGGAATTTGACATTGGGATTGAGAGACTCTACTTAGCCTTGGCTACCAAATTTGGGATCGGTGGTTCTGACAACGTGGGCAGTCATTCGGCCTGCAGAGAGAGAATGGAGGAGACATCCGTAGATGATGGCTTCCAGGTCCCCAGATGAGACTGAGCCTGCAAGAATGGCTGGCAGCTTCCGCTGACGGTTGCACTTGCATCTCTGGGGAGGCTTCCCTTCCTCCACGGGGCAACGTGACATACTGCTGTGTCCTCATGGCACATCGCCTTTCCCTTACGGTTTTCAGTGACTTCAGTTATTGCAATGAAAAAACTGGATGCCAGCAGCTGTGCCGTTTGGCTCAGTTGGTTTTGGTAGCACACGCGGCGGTTTCTGTCCTCCAAAGAGGTCTCATGGTTTTAAGGGTGTAAAGGCCATTCAGTTCTCATTAGAAAGTTCTAGAGGTTTAGGGAAGCTAGTTTTCTGAGATGCTAGGGCTGAGGATGTGGTTTACACATGTTATTACTGTAAATATTGGAGCCATATTAAGAAAACACTATCTTGGTGGGATTAAATTTCTTGTGGGAAGGAAATGTAAAAGCTCCCAAATCCGGAGGAAAGTGTTTTGAAGGGTTTTATTTGTTTCTTTGCTGTCACTGGCTTTTGTGTACTAGGAAAGTTGATGTTTTAAAAATTTTTCTATTTTTAATGATTATGGGTACATAATTGTTATTAATATTTATGGGGTACATATGATGTTTCAACACAGGCATACGACGTGTGGTAATCAAAGCCGGGTCATTGGGGTGTCCATCACGTCAGGCCTTTATCATTTCTTTGTGTTAGGAACATTCCAATTCCACTCTTTTAGTTATTTTAAAGTATACTCTAGCTTATTGTTGACTATAGTTCAATATGTTGTTCGATAGTGTTCATTCTATCTAACTATATCTCAAAGCATGCTTAGTTTTGGTGGTGGTGAGCTTGATAGCCATCTTGTTGCTCTTGAAGGATGCTTTACGTTTTATGTTAAAGTGTACCTTGCATTTATCCATCATTGCAGGTTGCTCTACTTGACTGTGCACAGAGTTCAGCAGAACCCATGCAGTCCAGTCTATACGAGGCCAGGGACGTGGAAGTGGCCCGCTGCGGGGCCCTGGCGCTGTGGAGTTGCAGCAAGAGTTACGCCAACAAAGAAGCGATTCGCAAAGCCGGGGGCATTCCCTTGCTGGCTCGCTTGCTGAAGACTTCTCATGAAAACATGCTGATTCCGGTGGTGGGGACTCTGCAAGAGTGTGCGTCAGAGGTACCCACACCACTTCCGCTCCTCTTGCTTTCTCTCCTTGACTTTCTTTAGTCAAAAAAAAAAAATCACTTTTAAGGTTCTCGTGATTGCTCAAGGAATTCTTTTTGTTTTTTTTATTTCAGGATATTATGGGGGTACAGATGTTAAGGTTACGTATGTTGCCCTTGCCCTCCCTTCCCCCGCCAAGTCCGAGCTTCAAGCGTGTCCATCCCCCGGATGGTGCGCATCACACTCTTTGTGTATGCATATACCCGTCCCCTCCTCCCCCCTCCCCCCTTCCACCTGCCCGACATCCAATAAATGTTATTCTTATATGTGCACTTATGTGTTGATCAGTTAATACCAATTTGATGGTGATCAAGGAATTCTTTTTCAAGAAGTCAGCATTCTATTAGAAAGAGACGATCAAGCAATAGGATGGTAATTAAATCAGTACCTGTGTGATATATATTTTTAGATGTTGACTAATTCTGTTACTGTTGTATCGATGTGTGAAGCTTGGACTTTGGTATCTATTTACAAAGAAGGTTTGTTCAGCATAATTATTAATAAATGTGGATAGGGACTTCTAGTCATGCATCATACACCCATAAATAGTTACGTTCTTCTTCCTAGGAAAACTACCGCGCTGCAATCAAGGCAGAAAGGATCATTGAAAACCTGGTGAAGAACCTGAGCAGTGAGAACGAGCAGCTTCAGGAGCACTGCGCCATGGCCATCTACCAGGTGTGCCCGCCCCCCGCAGGCGCTGACGCTCTTTCCCGTGCGGTTTATGGAGGTGTTTCTAAACACACGCTCTCCTTCCCTGGGGCTGGGACTCCGGGGTCTGCATCTTTGACAAGTCCCCCAGTGGATTTTCATGCACGCACAGGTCTGAGAAGCGCTGGCTTGCGGGAATGACAGAGACCTTGTATATGTAAGGGAAACCCGCTCCCACCCGTGCGATTACTTACATTTCTAGAAGACACACATATCTCTTTCTCTGTCTCTGAAAACAATTTACTTAGCGTAAAATATTAATAGATAAGTAAGTACCTGGTGCCCCCTCCCCATGTCCTATTCAAACACAATGCTCTTGGGAAATGTGTCTATCAAGACAAGATGGACACATGAGTGTGTGTGTATGTGTATGTTCCTGTTTTATCTTTTTATTAGTTTACTTATATTAATCTTCACCCACTTTTATATATTATGAATTTCATAATATATCAGAAAGCAGATTAGAATGGGAAAGAGAGAAAAATGGCGTTGGCAAATGAGTGTATGGCTGGTTACTGACCACGCCAGTTCCTGCCTAACCAGAGTAGATTCCCCAGAGCGTGCACGCAGGGTGTGCAAACGGAGAGAGTGTGCTGAAAAGACAGAGTCGGAGGAGGGGCTCATTTCAGCAGAGGATTGCATCTGGCTGCCAGGGCTGTCATGCCAAGTACACAGACTGGTGGCTTCAACAATGGGAAATTTATTTCCCCACAGTCCCGGAGTCCAGAAGTTCAAGATCACGGTTGGTTGGTCTCTCCGAGGCGTCTCTCTTTGGCTTGCAGATGGCTGTCTTCTCCCTGTGTCTTCACGTGGTCTTTCCCCTATGTGTTTCAGTGTTCTAGTCTCTTCTAATAAGAACAGCAGTCCTCTTGGGTTCGGGCCCACCCCAATGGCCTCAGTTAGCCTTAATTACCTCTTTACAGACCCTATCTCCAAATACAGTCACATTCTAAAGTCCTGCAAGTTAGGACTTCAATATATGAATTTTGAGGAGACACAATTCAGCCCATAACAATGCTATACAGCCTTGATTTGGATATATGCCTCATATGAGTAACTATTGAGTGGCTTGGAAATAGTGACTAATTTTTAAAAGTTGCCACCAAACCAGAATCGAAAACCACACTCTGAAGATCAATATGGCAGGTGTCCACATGGCATATTGTGATGACGATTTTGTCCACTGGTCCTCAGGGGTGATGCAGGACACGTACCTGCATCACATGGCATCACAGGATCATAGCCAAATCTGTACGAAATGTATCATCTATTGGCTCTGTGGCCTGAGAAGAATGCTCAAGTGGGAACATCTATGCAGTAAATATTTATTTCACAGGATGACACAAACATGGATAAACATGTTTGAATAAAATGTCAGGTACTTTTGTTATAACCCACTGCTCTGGGCGTAGAAACTCTGTTGGGGAAATTCTTCATCTCTAGATTTCAGGGGTCATTGAAGATCTGCCCGAGTCCCTGTCACTCATCTGTCTTGTACATTTGTCCCAGACTCTGGGTTGCATCGCTGCAGAAATCCCCATCTGTGCATGTGGCATTCTAGGTTTCTTACTGACCTCCGCCTCTGTCTCAGTGGAAGCCCAGGGCTGGCTTGGGAGAATTTCTGGGTGTGTAGAAACTGCTCTTCTTTCCCAAAACCGCCTACGGGGAGAGACGTACTGTCAGACAGCTGCCAGTATAGAGAAGAATTATATTTTCCTTGGAGGCACCTTCAGAAAATGACACTCTCGGACGCTGCAGAGCTGCTAGAATGGCAGCCACTTTCGCCATCACTGAAAGCTGGATACGTCTCCATCACTGACAGCCTCTGATTTGCTTTCTGTGCAGTGCGCTGAAGACGAGGAAACCCGGGACCTAGTCAGGCTGCACGGAGGACTGAAGCCCCTGGCCAGCCTGCTCAATAACACCGACAACAAAGAGCGCTTAGCTGCTGTCACTGGGGCCATATGGAAGTGTTCCATCAGTAAAGAGAACGTGACCAAGTAAGAGAAGGCACTCAATATTCTGTAACAAAAATATGGCCACCCAAACACATTCTTGTAATTTAATGCTATTATAACAGTTCAATTTTTTGCTTTTTTTTTCAGAATATTATGGGGGTACAAACGTTTGGGTTACACACATTGCTTTTGTACCGTTTGAGTCAAAGCTTGCCCATCCCCCAGACTGTGTACATTGTACCTGTTAGCTGTGAATTTACCCATCCCCTCCAATGAATGTTATTTCCATATGTGCACATAGATGTTGATCAATTAGTTCCAGTTTAATGGTGAGTACATGGGGTGTTTGTTTTTCTATTCCTGTGATACTTCACTTAGAAGAATGGTTTCCAGTTCCATCCAGGATAATACAAGAGGTACTAGTTCTCCATTGTTTTATGGCTGAGTAGTACTCCATGGTATACATATACCACATTTTATTAATCCACTCATGTGCTGATGGGCACTTGGGTTGTTTCCACAGCTTTGCAATTGTGAATTGTACTGGTATAAACATGGAGTGCAGATGTCTTTTTCATAGAATGTCTTTTTTTCCTTTGGGTAAAAGGAAATCCCAGTAGTGGGATTGCTGGATCAAATGGTAGTTCGATTCTAATGTTAGTTGTAGATGCACATTCTGGGTGAAGCTGGCAGAATGAAGGGATTCTTAGAAGTGAAAGACCTCTCTGCCCACCCCACCACCTGGCAATGACTTTCTGTGCCTTAGTAAGACTAAGAGGCTTACTGACCTGGTCTTTCTGTGCAAACAGGCTATTTTGCATGTGGACAGTCATTTATATTAGAAATATCTCTTTTTTTTTTTTAATTATTCCAGGGTTTTGTGAGGGTACAAACATTATAGTTACACTTTATGTCTTTGCCTCACCCAAATGCGGGTTAAAGGCATGCCCTTCCCTCGCTTTAGTGCTCCCCGTGTCCTTTAGTTGTAGATTTGCCTCCCCATCCCCCTAATCCCTAGAGAGTATTTCTTCCATGTGATCAACCTAGTGTTGATGTTAGTACCAATTTGATGGTGAGTACAAATGGATCCCGTTCTTCTGCTCTTGTGGCGCCCCACTTTGGATAATGGGCTTAAGTTTAATCCAGGAAAATATAAGAGGTGCTAGATCACTGTCGTTTCTTATGATTGAGTAATATTCCATTGTATAACCAGAATCTATCTAGAACTCAAAAAAATCAACAAGAAAAAATCAAACAACTCCATCAACAAATGGGCAAGGGAAATGAACAGAAACTTTTCAAAAGAAGACAGAATAATGGCCAGCAAACATATAAAAAAATGCTCAACATCTCTAATCATTAGAGAAATGCAAATCAAAACCACAATGAGGTATCACCTAACGCTGGTGAGATTGGCCTCTATCAAAAATATATTAGAAATATCTCTGATATCTCCTGTGGAGACCTCTCAAGGTGAGGTGGTACATGTCCCATTGGATCTTTGGAGATGGAAGTGATTTCATTCTTTTTCCTTTCCTTAAATATAAATAAGATGAATCAGCTAAACGTCAACTAAAGAATTACTTTTAGAGAGTAGTCATTTTCAAATGTGATGATTTCATTGAATTTTATTTTAAAGTATTTGTAAACTTTATGATCATTTGATTTAATTTTCAAATCTCTCTCTTTATATATTTTTACGGTTCACACTCTCAGTGATGGGCATTCTGAGGCATCAGAATTGTCTCCATCTTATGGTTTCCTTTAACAAGAAATTCACATCTCCTATTTGACACAAAATAAGTTTACTTAATAAAGAACGTGTAGTGAAGTAATGGCTACGTTAAAAGTAACCTCAGCTGATTAAACTTTTACCTTAATTCAGCCACATTGAAAATACTGCTGAAATTTATCAGAAAGGGAAAAAATGTTCCATACAGAAACAAGTCATTCTCAAATATTTACCTTTATATAGCACACTTCCTCTTGGTGTGTATATATGTGTGCGTGTGTGTGGGTGTGTGTGTGCACGCGCGTGTGATATAGTGAAAAAAATCAGAGTGAAATTGCGTGGCAAGAGAGATGCTAAATGTTTTGATGGTTAATATCAAAGATATCTGAGGATGACAGATTTTTATCCAAGTGGCCCAAGCTATTACTTATGTTGAGAGACTTACTAAACCCAAACAGGTATAATAAAGTTGTGTCTGATGTATTTAAAAGCAAAAGTATATATAATTCATTTTCATTAAACATTCGAATACTTTGTAAGCTGGGTGTGGTGGTGCACACCTGTAGTCCCAGCTACTCGGGAGGCTGAGGTGGGAGGATCTCATGAGGCCAGGAGTTTGAGACCAGCCTGGGAGAACATAGCAAGACCTCATCTCTAAAAATGTATAACATGAAATGGAATATTTTGTTCATGTAAAATGGTCTCTCTAAGATGGGGAAAAACCCTTATCAGAGTGGAATCATAGATGCACAGATTTGGAAACAGCTCTAGCTGTCTTAGAGGCTGTACAGCACAGTGGTTAAGGGCTCAGGTCTGGAGCAGATGGTGGGTGTGGATGACAACTCTGTTATCTGCCAAGCTTCAGGTCAGCAGTCCCATAATTGGGATTAACTAGCATCTGCATCATAGGGTTGTTGTAGGGATTGAATGAGCAGATACTTGGCATTTAGTAAGTTTTAGCTATCATTATTAATATTATTAGCTAACTTTATTCTAAAAGCAATACCGTTTCCCCACCTCCCCCCTCCCATTTCTCTCTCTCTGTAAATTAGGTTTCGAGAATACAAAGCCATTGAAACCTTGGTGGGACTTTTAACTGACCAGCCTGAAGAAGTCCTCGTGAATGTGGTTGGGGCCTTGGGGGAATGCTGCCAAGAGTATGAAAACCGAGTCATTATCCGGAAGTGTGGTGGCATTCAACCACTCGTGAACCTCCTCGTCGGGATAAACCAGGCTCTTCTTGTGAATGTCACAAAGGCAGTTGGTGCTTGTGCAATGGAACCTGAAAGTATGACGTAAGTGGCCCTGGAGACGGGGAGATTTTATACGAGTGTGTTGAGGGGAACACTTGGGTAGGCACAGAACAGTGTTATTGCTTAGAAATGATGTGTACGAATGATGAAAAAAATAAAATGTGTTATACAAATAATAACAAGTTTACCAAATAATAACTTACAGAGCTAAGACTGGGCATATTGGGAGGATTTATAATACCTAGCAATCAATTTCCCACGTGGAAACCTTAATTCAATCAACAAAATTTTTCTCTGCCTGCTAGAGGAGGATTATCTCTCTCTGTCGGTCTAAATAGGTCCTAAGTGGTTCTAGGTAGCATTCTCAGTATCCTTGTTTCTTGCCAATTCAGCAAATGTATTTTGAGTACCTAAAAAGAGCTGCGAACTGATGAGGGGAAGGAACAAAGGATTTTAAGCTATGATCTTGTCCCTTGAGCAATTTATTGTCTAATTTGGAAGAAAAGGCTTATATGTGGTATAATTTAAGAACAATATTAAATGCAAGATTTTATATATATCGAAGAGAGGAACCCAAATGGGTTAAAGTTGCTATATTAGGGTTCTCCAGAGAAACATAACCCACAGGGGGTGTGTGTGTGTGTGTGTGTACCTTCATCTAACCACATATCTCATACACAAGTACCAATGCCTCCAATAACTTCTTTTGATTTGGTTATTGGCCCCTTACTCTTAGGGGTTTCGGAAACTAAGGAATGTAAGTTGTGCACATGATAGCTTTAAGGGAAGATTATTGGCTAGACCTCAAAAACAATTTTCTGACGTATTTATCTTTTTGAAACACGCATGGTATTCATTAGAACCTGATAAACACTTGTCAGAAAGGGCTTTGTATATTTCTTTTGATCTTTTGATCTTTGGTTCCTCTTTATTTTTTGCTTTCTCAGATCTACTTGACCACCAACTACCTCTGAACTTTGGGAACGCATTTCTTCCTTTCTGCTCTCAGCTGGGTTCTGCCATCTTTTACCCGGACTATTGAATTGGGTCTTGTGTGGCAACCTCTCATCTCCTCCATCCATTTTAATACCTTCCTGCACAGCATTGAAATTATTTTCCTAAACTGCATGTCTGACGATGTTTCCTTGGCCCAAAGAACCTTCAGTGACTTCTCAATGGTTTAAAAACCAAACCTAAGTTGCTTAGCTTGGTGTTCAAAGCATTTGCCTTCTGGCCCCATTCTACTTCTCTACCTTCATCTTTTACTTGCAAGGGTTAACTGTGGAGTGACATTCTTATTGTTTATTCCTCTATCCATTAAACAAATATTTATTGAGCATCTTTTGTGCTAGGCCCTGGATTTATAGTGGTACCCAAAACAAAATTCCTGCTCTTTTAGAACTTACACACTATTGTGTGTCTGGAACACAGACTATGTGCTCAATCAACAAACAAACAAAATGATTCCAGATAGTATGAAATGCTGTGAAGAAAACAGTATGTTTGAAAGAGAGTGACTGGGTGGGAAGTGGTTACTTAAAATATAACTATTTTTAAGTGAAGTGTTATTTTTATTGACTTTTCAGTTGTATCCATTCAAGAGATGGCCAAAGAAAACAGCTCTACTCTTTTTTTATTCTGGCTCTTAAAGAATCAATCAAGTTTTGAAACAACTAAATGGAAATGAAAAAAGAACTCATTGATAAAGCACAGGCCCCAAGGATATGGTTGAGCTTGGGGGACGGACAAGTGAAGGGATAATTTAAAAATAGTAGAGTAGATGATGAGATGACAGTAAAATAAGATTTATTCACAAATGCACCACAACTAGTTTGTGGAATTTTGTGAAAGGTTTGGCTTCTCATTAATGGTTTGAAGACTATAAAAAAGAGAGCAAAAGTAGAAAAAAATTATATTCAACCAAACAAGGAAATGGCCACAACTCCAAACCCTAAACTGTGAAGTGCACAGCAAATGCAGGGAATGATTGACCTGTAAATGATCTGCTGACAGCTCACACATACCTCTTCCGATCTCAAGATTCCCCCCAAATGAATGTCATGGTCATTTAAAGAATAGTCAACATTTTTTGTTCATAGAGAGCAAAGATTGGGCCCTGGAAGAAGTGGGGATTTGCCATCAGAGACCCAGTTTTGCATTATAAAACATCAGGAAAAGTGGAGCCTAAGAAAGAATCATATGGACATGTCATTTTATTTTTCTACAATAGCTTCTCGCCCACGGAGACTGCCGAAGACATTTTGGAGTGAAAAGGGTACTAGAGACAATGATTGCCAGATTGTGACACAGTGAAACTGTAAACTTTTAGAGATTTGGGGTGAACCAGGTTGACTGTTTGAATGCTCAAAACCGAATGGAGATTGTTCCCAGGGCAAAAGGAATTGCAGATTGTTGTGGGATTGTGTTTGAGGTAATTTACCACAAAAGCAAGCAGATAAAGTCAGACAAATAGCATCCCCACAGTCACAAGGCTATTAAAATAATATATTCTTTCTTAATTAAATAGCCCCCCAAATTATATAAAGTTTTGCAAATCACTTTAAAGGATAATCTAAATAATTTTAAACCTAAATAGTTTAAAAAAGCAAGTATTCAGAGCTCAGAAAAGAAATGGAAAAATTATTAAACTAAAAGCCTGGATCGATGCAAAAGAAATATAATACCCACAACCGAGAACACAGTCAGGAATGTGGCATATAGGAAATACAAAATAAATTGAAAAAGTATATAAAAATGATAGTAGAAAAATTGTTAAATATGGAACTCAAGGAGATCTAGCATAAATGTAATTGGTATTCCTCAAGAAAAGACTGGAACCAATGGAACATGATTTAATTAAAGATATAACAGAAGAAAACTTTCCAGTGACTCTATAGGTCAAAGAGACCCAAAGAAACCCTAGTAATATTGGTACAGAATGGCCAACAGCAACACATATCCTGATAAAGTTGCATTTTAGAAATAAAGGAAAAAAATAGATGCATCCAGGCAAAAGGACCAAACCATGAGGACAGGTTGGCTTGAAACTTCTCTGTAGCATCTTTTAATATCAAAAGACATTGATTAAAACATTCTCAGAGAGAAAAAATATTGCCCAAGAATTTCATGCTAGCCAAGTTATCCTTCAAATATGAAGCCAATAGCACTTTCTTAAGCATGTGAGACATTAGTGAATGTAGTACTCACTAGCTGTCCTTGAAAAAACTGCATGATAAAAACCCAATCAAGATATTACTCAAAATAAATATTTCAAAATAGCAAAACTATGGCTAAAAGGTACTAGTGGAGACCATTGAATTCATTTAAATATTAAACTAAGACCAAACAATGGAGGAATTATCATTAGGGAGAATCATCTTAATCTTATAGATATTGATGCTGGTAATGTAATAATTCAACTGACAAAAATAGAAACAAAGTCAGTGCAGGGTGGCTGGCTAAGTGTGCAAATTTTATCATCTTTCACATAAAGAAGACAACAGATGTGGCACAAACCATTTCTATCTATCCATCATCTATCTATCCATGGATCTGTCTTACCTACCCATCCATCCTTCTATTTACCTATAAGCATAAAGAGATATCCATAGTTTACATTAGCCATTGATAATTGTTATTTCAGCATGATAGGATATGAGGTCAATTTTTACTTCTGTGTCTTTTTCTATATAGTCTGCATGATGAATATATATATCATCTTTACAAAGTCGAAGTTCTTGTTTAATACCTTGCACAATCCCACTTTGTTCACAGGAAGAGTGTGTAATGGTTAAGTGTATGGATTCTGGAACCATTGCCTGCACTGCCAGTCTCAGAACTATTTTTCTTTTGGCAAATTAGTAAACAACTTGGTACCTTGGACCATAAACATAAAATGGCGATAGTATGGTACCTATATCATTGGGTTGTTGTAATGATTAAGTAAATTAATATATGTAAAGTACTTGATACATAGTAAGTGCTGGGAAAATGTTGGCTAGTATTGTTGATATAGCAGTAAGCACCAATTAATGGCAATTTAATAAGATAATATATAAATAGAAAATGAAAGTAAGATGGTATAATACTTTGTCCCTTAATTCCATGTGTTTCTCTTATATTAAGTTAATCCTGTCATTTAATCTGCCATAAATTGAAACAAGGGGACCCAAAATGGTTGAGGCTAAACTCTCATCTGCAGTTGGGGAGCTTTGGGGGTGTAGCATAGACATGTAAATAGGCAATGAGAATTCAGGCCTTTGTGTGCCATGCTAATAAATTTAGATTTTGTTTGAAAGTCAATTGAGAGTCATTGAAGGATTGAGTTCATTCAGGCATGAATTGAGACTGGAAACCTTGTTAGGGGATCATTGCAGATTATAGGTGAAGGTGACTTGCAACAAGCCTATGGACTCTAATGCAATATGACAGGGCTGGGCGCAGTGGCTCATGCCTGTAATCCTAGCACTCTGGGAGGCTGAGGTGGGAGGATCACTTGAGGTCAGGAGCTCAAGATCAGCCTGAGCAAGAGCGGGATCTCCTCTCTACCAAAAATAGAAAAAATTAGCTGGGCATGCCGGGGAATGCCTGTAGCCCCAGCTACTCGGGAGGCTGAGGCAGGAGGATCCCTTGAGCCCAGGAGTTTGAGGTTGCAGTGAGCTATATTGATGAAGCCACTGCATTCTACCCGGACCATGGAGTGAAACTTTGTCTTAAAAACAAAGCTATGAGACACAAGAATGATTAGGACCAAGTGAATGACTGAACATGAGTTATAAAGAAGAGGGAGGAGTCATGGATGGAATTCAGGTTGGGTAACCTGCTAAATAATGGTACCATTTACTGATGCAGGGAGCGTAGCTGGAGAGCCAGTGGCTGAACGTCACAAGGGGAGAAACAGAGTCAGTCTGTCCGTCAATATACCCCCAATGCCTAACCCAGTACCAGTCCCAGGGTACACACCCAGCAATCGTGCAGGAAGTGAACAGTGAGTTCAGTTACGGTTGTACAGACATTAGCATGGTTTAGCGGCTGTGAGGAAG